AACTGCTGACAAACCAGGATGGTCTCAGACCAGTTCTTTCAGGTGTAACAATTTTGCTTCCAAGAGCAAAGCTAAATAGACTGCAAAACACCGCTTCTGCAAAAAGGTGAAGTTTTTTGACCCTTTTGTGACCCTTGATAACATCTCTTTTACTAATGTGCAAGGCAAGCTACTTGGATTACATTAGCATCACTCCAAAAGCAAGACTGTCTTAAAATTTGCTATGCACTTATGTAAGACCAATTTTAAAATGTTAAGCCTTGAGTAAGCCCTGACTCTAACTGTACAAAACCTTAAAATCTGCTCAGCTTTCCACCCACCAATAACTTGGGCAAGGGTTAAAGAAATTGCATTGAGCAATTGCTCCATGACATGCAGAAGTGCAAGAGGATGGTACGCTTCAGAGCATAAACACATTAATTGACTAATAGATGGAAATAATCCAGAAAGTCTTAATGATTTCCTATGCACAACTCTAAGTGAACTTACTCTAATTCGTATCTTGATCGTTATCATCTTGGGGAGGAAAAAAGACATGCTTAATCATTTCCCCACTGCCGTAGTAAATAGGTGTTTTTAAAAAAAATGCCCCTTGTTGAATGAAAGTAATCTTCTTGCTCAAAATTGCATAAATATTACAGAAAACGCAGAGACCCTATAGCACGAGTAGGTCAGGCACAATGGTATGAGCCTCTTCCCACATCGTCGGTGACAGCCACGGTTGGAAGCTCAGAACTCACCTCCCCAAGGCTGCCTGCAAGCACCTCGTCCTTGCTCAACAGGACACAAAACAACAGGCTGCTGCATCCCAGCTCTCCTCCGATGGAACAGAAAAAAACGAGGGGAGAAAGAGAGAAAAAGCCAAGCTCTGAGGGACTGCAAGGTCATGCCGCCCTCTTGTGACCACCGGGACATTTTGGCCTTCTCCAGCCCAACAACTGAGGGCCCTGGAGCACCCTTAGCCATGTCCCGGCTGCCACTTCCTTCATGAGAAGGCTCCTCAGCCAAGGTGCCAGGCTGCTGCAAGAGAGTCCTCGCTGTCACCCCATGGCACACTGCAAGGGCATGGATGTGCTTCAGGTGATTACCTCAAATTCCAGTACTGGTCAGTGATGGTTTTTAATTGCCATCCACTTATTAGGCCACCTTCCTACCAAGTTTCTGCTCCCTCTTTACCCATGCCTTATTTAGTCCCTTCGTATTTTCATCACAGTGCACTCAGTCCCGGTAAGCACTGCTTGGGCAGGCTTGAGTTCATTAGGGGGTTACCAAGACCTTCCTCCCCTAAAGCTGCAGGCAACAAGAGAGAGGGGCTGCCTGCATGAATACCAGTTTAAGGGTAAGCCAGCACAGCTGTTCATTCCCCTTAGCAGAATCCGGGACCAGATGGGAGCACAGGCAAGCTTCAAGCACAAGCAAACTGATGTCATGGCCCACCTTTGAGGGGCTCTGGCACACACACCTGACACGTCCTGCTCTGGGGTACGGAGTGCTCAGTGTTGGGCCAGGGAGAAGCACTGGGCAGGGACTTGGGGAGGCTTCCACCCTTCTGTCCTGCTGCTGTTACCAACAGGCAGCTCCCCTTTGGTGGCTCGTCCTTGCAGAACCTCAGGGTGCCTTACTGGCCCATGGGCATCTCTCTCATGGACCTGTAACAAGAACTTCAGGGCTTTCTTTTCCTCCCCAGAACACAGAAGTGTTGCTCCCCTACAGCGCTGCCCAGCATAGGACAAACGGCCCAGCATACGCAGACCAAATGCTTGCTCTGGTCCTTGCCCCAAGATAACACTAGCACAACTGGCTAGGACATAAGAACATCAAATACTGTTGTGTATCTGCAATAGCAGCGATGTTCTTCTAGCAGAGGGAAAAGGATTTACACCTCAGCCTGGTGCTTCTACCAACATCTATTAACTCACTGATGCACAGACACACAAATCAAATGTTTAAAAGCATTCCAGGCCATATAAAATGCCTTTTTATGTCCAAGTATTGGCAGGATCCCTTTGGAGTGCCTCCGTGCTTTAAGAGAGGCTCTGCCAGCCGCAGGTACTGCCTCCCAGCCAGGCCCGGGGAGCTCCTGTGGGACAGGCCATTCCTTACCACTAACCTGAAGTAAAGCCTGCACAGTACTTTTAAACCACACATAAGATTGCCCAAATGCCTTTCAGTGTGTTTTAATTTATAAAGTTAAAACAAATAAATTCTTTTCCTTTTCATTGGTATTAAATAGATCAAAATTAAATTCAGATTCAAACACATACAACTTCAGCTGATAAACAGTATTAAAAAAAATCTTAGTAGGAAAGAAAGCCCGGTTTACACATCAGAAAATCATCCACTTTCTCTACACAAAAGTTAAACCACTTCATTAAAGGCAAGACATCTGCTTTTCTCCTTGCTCTCCTTCCCTCAGCCAGCTTTAAACAAGAAGGAAGAGACTTTTTCCCCTTAGAAAGCATGACAATTGAGTTATCGCATACCTTTTCACAACAAATTAAAAATATATGTTGTGGTTATAAGGATTACTTACCTGCATGCATTTTTGGAGGAATGCATTCTCTAACTGGCTGAACAAGATGAAGTACCATTCAATGAACAGGCACTCTCAGCGCTCTCATGTAATACCATCATTTTAAAGGACTATCATCAACAGGAATTCTGGGCAGTCTGCGAATATCAAATAAGCTTGAGGTATTTCACTTGCCTAAACCTGAAATTTTTCAATCATGCTTTAATGTGCCTATATCTAGTTTGCTTTGGGAACCACCTGTTTGCTGAGGGGCAAGCCAATTCAATAAAAGCAGTGGCTCTACAGAACATCAAAGTTTGGCTGAGGAACAAATTCCAGTTTTGGCTTCTTAATTTTTTGAAGTCACATAAGACAGTTAATCTTCAATCAATCAATCTGATGCTCATTTCTACTGGTGCTCATCGCTTGCTCTCTCTGCCTTTCCAAGCAACTATACTCATAAGAAGGGCTATATTTTTCAATAGATTATCATCTTCAAGTTGAAGGGCCAAGCCACTCCTAGTGAAGCTCTTCCAAAGCCAATTATAAGATTATAGCGGGAAAATTATTTTTGACAAGATATACTGTGTCCTTTTAAGCATATTGGCATCAAGCACATCTCACACAACAGAAAGCCGAGAGAAGCAAGGCAAATCAGGCAACGAGCTACAGCAACTAGAATTCCCGGCCGAGGACATTAACATCCTCTACTCTGCTAGAGGAAACGATTAAAAAAACCTCCGTACATAAGACATGTAACTTTATTCAACTGGAGGCATAAAAACTCAGAAAATCTAGTTCCCTACCTGCATCCTGCCAGCTAAAACCTTAGGGCACGTGACATAAACCCAGCTAAAGATTTTACAGCTTTAGAAGATGATGGCTTCCATACTAAAGGATTGCCATGAGTCAAAAAACAAACAAACAAAAATCACACCATCATACAACCAGTGTATTTCTGCCTATCCTTTCAGATTAAAAACACCTCTCGACTACAAACTTCGGTGACCAATTGAACAGTAGATCTAGTTAATATGAAAATAATTTTCTTCTCTCTTGTTTAAGTCAAGAGCAATGATACAGAACAAACCATCATGAGACTTATATCCAAGTCAAAAACAAGCAAGGAAAAAGCTGGGATTTTAATTCTTCTTAAAAATAATTTTCCTTCTTTTCAAGAACATACTGGATCAATTAAACGTTACTCCAACTATCTTTCAGATATAATATCAGCCTAAGTCACAAGAAACTACAGAGATAGAATTCCAAGGATTTCTATAAAAGCATGGTTAAATTCTTGTGCTGCAGCAGGAAAGAAAGATTTGGCTCAAAGAAGCCCACTGTAGCCATCAAGAGCATTACTATCTACTTCCCTTGAATATTTCTTTTCAGCTTCATAAAGCTAAACTAATCTTTAAATAAATAGAAAACTGTGCACTTAAAAGAAAAATCACATTCCATACTAGTAATAATTTAATGGAAGTTTAAAAATTCTCCATTTCCATTTTATACCCATATCTATGAAACACTACAGTGCCTGTTGCAGCACCTTAGAACAGCCCCAGACAGAGGTGTAAGGCAGGCAGCAAGAACAGCTTCACGCATACTCACTGGTAACAACCATTCTGCAGCAAAGCTGGGTCCCTGCTGAGAGCAACTGATTTTTCCTTCCCTCTTCTCCACACTCCCAGAAATGCAAAACGGTACTTCTAATCTGCATTTAGAAATTTCCATCCCAACTATCAAATACTTATAGTGTTTATAGCAGAAACTGCACTTTTATATATAAATATAAATTAGGCATATTTACACCTCAGCAGGACTCACGTACATCAATTTCAGGTCTATCTGCGTTACTATAAGAAAAAGGAAATATGCTAATTTTCAGGAAAAGTAACATTTTAACAGCAGCTTTTTCATCCCCAGATGTTTCAAAGCTCTCCCCTTGGATTGCTTACTGAAAATAATGGACAACAAAAATAATTTCTGTACAGTTTTCAAACCACAATTCTCCAGGTCTCAATCCCTATGCTGAAATATAAATGACACACTTCTACACCTGTATATGGTTCTCCCAGCAAGGTACAAAAGCGCACCTACAGGTAATTGGAGAAGAAAGCCTCCCCCCCTTTTACAAAATGTATTAAGCAAAAAAAAAAAAACCCCCAAACAAACAAAACCCCAAAACGTATAGAAAAGTTTCTCACATCTCATAAGTACAAAGAAACAATATGCAAATTTGTACACATTTATGTTGAAACGCTGTCCATGTAAACAACCAAATGAAAAGTCACATACAAGCAGTTAAGACTGGAATTCATAACCTCCTTCACAGCAGCCACCACCTTCATCACGATTTAGTTTCCTTCCTCCAACCTGTTTTAAAACTTTTGGGGATAAGTCTTGGTGCAGTATGTTAGCACCCAAACATCTTGAGTATCAAAACCTCAACTTACTTCACACAAGCTTTTGTTTTGTTTTTGTTTGGTTTTTTAACATATATACATACACACACACTTTACTTTGTGCTCTCCAAACAATTTCCCATTCTCAGTATGCAGAGTGATAGCTAAGTCCCTGTTGCAAACTAGTTTTGACTGTTTCTCCAGGACTTTTAACTGTCTAATCTACCATCACATGAAAAGATTTGTAACTATCCAGTGTAAACACACTCCCTCTCAAGATACGTGGATTAGTCAGTGTAACTATGGTGTTGAAGGCATTTGGCTGAAACACTCTTTCTTGACACACGAAGGGATGAAACAAATACACAACACATGTATATGAGCAAAGGCAGTTCCTGTCCGCCCAGCTCCAATTAACTGCAAAATGGACCAAACTTATTTTTTGCTGAAATCTAGTTTCAAAGTGAGAGCTCACAGTCCTATGATGCACTTTATATACATTTCACCACTCTGTAAGTGAATGAAAAAGGAGTTGAACACATTTCTTCCCTACCCAACATGGAACAGCAATGAAGTTCTATTATTTCATAAGGCATATTCATCTTCAGTGAGAATCCAAGCACAAGCAAGAATTCTGCCAAGTCGTGCGATCGTATAACTTCATCTTCATCTACCCAACGTCTTGAAATTCCAGGATCTCCCACTCTATTCCTTAGGTGGAATAATCCCTGTCACAGTGGGCATTTTTTATTTAACGCAACTAAAGAGCCGGGCTAAATAAAAAAGCCCTCAGCAGCTGGACCTCTGTATCTTTCAAAAAGAGGGACACACAAACGACCAACTTTTGCAGTTCTCTGGCTTTATCCCATAACCTGCCTTTTTACAATATCTATCTATATATAAATTAGAAAGAGATAAAGCCAATGATGAACTGCAGTGCTCATGAAAAAACTTCAGTCCATATTACACAGTCTCTTCTGATCGGAGATCACTGAGGTGTAAAGGTGAGAATCATCCAGCTGATAACAAAGTAGAAGAGGAAGATGGGGTACACAACAAGAGCTTTGCGGTTTGGAGGCTGACTGTCTGCCAGGAAAGCTGTAGATGCTGGTGAAAAAGAAAAATACTTGAAGTTGAGCAGCATAAAACTAAAAGTCTAAGATCCACTGCACATATTAACAATTTTGAATTAGGATCTGCATTACAATTATGCTGAAAGAGAAAACAGAGTAATCCATTGCTCAATACCAATGGTCTATAATCACCAATTAAAACTTTATCATATAGAAAGATAAATGCTGATTAACATGCTGTAACAAGAGTCAGACTTACAGATTAAGAATAGGAGAAATAATGCAAGGGCACCTGTATGAAATTAGCATTTTCTAATAGTATTTATAACATAGATCACAGCATAAAATACCCAGTAGTCTCACATGGGTTTTAATATTAAATTATCATCCTTCTCCCGCAGGCAATTTGCAGATGACCACGAAAACCAACAGGAGCACAGGCAGAGGCTGAATCTCTGCCAACACAAGGACTGGAAGAACTTTTTCTACAATACTTCAGCAGCCTAAGAAACACCTGAAACTACAATATCCATTGGCTTTACTCAACAGAATGCATGCAGATCTACCTCCTTAAGCATCACGCTACTCAGTGCGCACAACAGCGTTACAACACAAAAAGGTACTCACCTAACGTTGACCAACCAAACATAGCTACTACTACAATAAGACGTATAATGAAGCTGACAGTTCCAGAACCTGCCAGCAGTACCAGCCTGCACACCAGCATCGCTACTGTCAGGGGCAGGACACAGTAACCCAGAACGCACAGGCTCTGAAAAAAGGATCTGGAAAGGAGAGAAAGAAATGGGAAAGAAGTAGTCAAACCAAAGCATTGCAGAAACTCCATGCATGGGAGCATTTTAACTGCTACTAAATAAACCAGCACTCACATAGTTCCTCCAAGAAGCTTTGAGTTTAGTGTGATGACAACTGCACCAAACCAGATGATGACAAAGACCTCAGCAAACTGGGGCCCTCCATCGTCTTTACTATCTGCTGATCCACCCTGAAGCATCCTGTTGTAGGTAACAGATAAAAGGAGTCATTTGCAATCGATGATGGAGTTTTCATAGACTTGGAGTAGATGACGGAATAGGAACCCGAAACATTGATCTCCAGTTAGGCTGCAGACTGATCATTTTTCATCTGCTTGCTTATTTTTAGTAGTATCCTCAATTTTGTTGAGGAAAGGAAAATGGTTGTGGTTCAATTGAGGGGATTTCAGTCCATTTGTTTATTTGTCTTGAGGAGTTGTAAGCATGTTGAGGAGAACAAAACCATAGACAACAGGCTAAGAGATGCAAATTGAAGTACCACAAGTTTGGTAACCTCTCAAAGCAGGCAGTGTAGTGCATGATAAAACACAAAACCTTTAAGAAAAGCTTGTAGTAACTATAGGACACAAGCAACACAAAGCCTGGAAAAGTGAGCATGCATTGGTTTGAATATTTGAATTACACTGTCTACTTTTGCTAAAGCTTTGTCAACATTTTACTGAATGGTTTCTGTACATTGAGTACACAGGTGTGCCTCAATTAGCTGATAGATCTGACCAACGTTTCCACCCTACCCCAGGCAGATCTGCACACATATGCTCCAGTGAAGCACCAGAAACTCTGGGAAGCCACCATCATCTCCCATCTATGAACTACTACAACAGCCTCTCTTTTTCTACCTCCAGGATACGTAGCACATACACTGCAGCTCTTAGACAAAGGTTTTGGCCTGCAGGTTAGGGTGAAAGTTGGCCAAACGCATTAGACTCAAGGGCAACATGAATCGGGATACCTTTCAGTAAAATCATTCTTAAGACAGGGGACTAGGAAGAGTTCACCCTTAAATCCTAAATGTAAAAACAGAAGGTCCTAATGGGCTTGAAGTGTCAGAAACAGCATATTAGAACACCTTCTGGCAAGCACCTCCCCATCCTGTTGCTGATGGGCTTCTTTTCACCTGTGGCTCCTTGCTAGGCAGGGGTCCTTGTTATGCAGAGTTCATTGTTAAGCAGAACTTGCCCCACCACAACGTTTGAGACATTAACTCTTTCAGTCTCTCACAATTTTATATGAAAATCTAAACAGGCAGTTTGCAGAAGACCAGAGAGGATCAGATGAACTTGATCTCAACACATGTAGTCAGAAATTTTTAATTTCTCATTTCTCCACCGTAAAAGACTATAAAATCCCAAATCCACCCACTATAAGTACTTACAGTGCAAGCGAGACACAAAGCACCAAAGGGCCCCACAGATCCCCTGTAGGTAAAGGAAAAAATAAAATCATAAATATCATAGAAGGATGCTCTGTTTCATTTTCCCCGAGAGTAATAAAGCACTCTTTTCCAAATCCCAAGGTATCATTTTGCATATTATGCTTTCTTATAATTTTCTTACTTAGCATCTTATATGCCATATTCTATAATATAATCCATTCAAAGCCTGCCAGGTGCTAAAGCTACCTGCTGTACATATGCCAGCACATGTTCTACTTTTAAAGAGCTTTGGTAACACTCTGATTTTTCATGTTTGTTATTCAGCATTCTACAACAACAGAAAGAACATGGAACAGGCAGTTCTGAATTCCTGTCCCACTGAACTCTTCCTTTTCCTATGTAGGCAAAGTCTGTTGGCAAAATATCCTTTCAAGATTTTGAAAATCTTCTTGTACGTACAGTCTCTCAGGAGCGCACTACTCTTCTTCGGATACATGACATGGACAAATTTCTTCCCAACAGCCTTCAGATCTCTCATCTGAAATAAAGAAGCAACACTTTATCCTTTCATAAAAATTACAGTTCACAACTAAAAGCAGTAAGAGAGAAGTAAAGGAGTATCGATGGTAAATCAAGGTAGGATCCAACCCAAAAATTTCTGTAGCATCTTCTGCAACAAACAACACCTACTTTTTCTACATTCCTTAACAACCACAATGTTTTATCCTTTAATAACACCCAATTAAGAACAACAATTTGCTCCTCAAGGAAAAGAAAATTAATGAAAAATCTTATTAGCTGGGAGTTTTCTTCCAAGGTTCGTCTGAGGCCTTTACCCTTGCAAAGATTTTGAGATCATAGAGAAACTCTGGGGCTGTAATTCAGATATTTTTTGACCCATAAAAATTCATTTTACATAGCTAGTTGCGATGAAGTACAAGTCAAGCAAAAATACAGTTTTTGTATAGCAGTTTTCCAAAGATATTGGCAAAACACATGTTTTACCATAGACAGGGGCACAGACTCACAATAGTGTCCCTAACAGGCTCATCCAGTGTGGAGTAGTCTTCATCAGGAGAGCGAGATCCGACAGGAACAGTAATCTCCCCTTCCACTGGAATATCTTCAGATATTGACACATCCGCGAGACCTGCAAACTAAAAGATTTTTAAAACCTTGAGAAAGAGAGAAATACAAGTCAGCTCAGACTCACTTCAGATGTTTTTCAGCTGGGTTTAGGATGAAAACAGCTGCTTAGAATTCAAAGATACAACACTTAATAATACGGTCAACAACAGAGCCCAGCTGTTGCCTGCTTGATTTAAACAGCTCACAGTCTAAAGAGGCAAGTAGATAAGTATAAGCAAAGCATTTCCATTTTCTTCAGTAACTCCCGATAACCTGCTTTCTGTTCTCTGATAAGATAGCAACAACTAAAGGAAGTGAAAAGCTTGTTTGTGTGTTTCAAGTAGTGTAACACCTGATAGCTGTCCAACCGCACCAACGCGCCCGAGTACCCTGTCCTTCACGGGCTCCGTGGGGAAACAACTCGTAAGAAACCGTACGGAGATCTACAGCCCGAGCTCAAAGTCAAGACTGTCGAGCACCGAACGTCAACAAAACTTATTTCCTCCACCCAAGCGGAAAGCTAGAGCACTCGAGCTCCCACAGACAGGAGCAAACAGAAAACAGCCCGACCAGTTCTACAGTCAACTCCAGGGCAGCCGGGACAGGCCGCAAGCAGCAGGGAGGGAGCGGCAGGAGGCCGACGGCTCCC